TGTGCGAGCCATCGAGCTTCCATCTTGGTTGCTGGCAATGCGTCATCGAGGAGGTAGTTGATGTAGAGTGTTCTCCAGTCATCTGGAGGGTCATACTCCATTGTTGGATCCACTTCAAGCTCCATGACCTCGGGGTCTGCTTGGAAGAGCCATCATCAGCCGGCTCTGACCTTTCGTAGCGCACCGAGGGTTTGTGTTGATCGCTAGCGAACACACCCATCGGCACCGGCTCTCGGCCAGACGCGGCTTTTGCAAGTGCGTCGACCGCCTCGTTGAGGCGCCTCGGGATGTGGTTGAGCTCGAGACCGTCGAACTTGTCCTCCAACTGTCGGACCTCCTGGCAATACGCAGCCATTCTAGCATCGTGGCAGCTTGACTCCTTCATCACTTAGTTGACGATCAGCTGGGAGTCGCCCCGGATGTTGAGGCGTCGAATGCCCAACTCGATGGAGATGCGTAGGCCATTGATGAGTGTCTCATATTCGGCCACATTATTTGATGAGGGAAAATGGAGACGAACCATGTACCTCATGCGGACCCCAAGGGGTGACATGAAGACCAGCCCCGCGCCGACGCCCTTCTTCATTAGTGATCCGTCGAAGTACATTGTCCAGTACTCTTGATCGACGACGGCCGGTGGCGTCTAGACCTCGGTCCATTCCGTGATGAAGTCAGCTAGCACCTGGGACTTGATCACCGTTTGGGCGGCATATGTGATGCTTGATCCATTAGTTCGAGCACCCACTTCATGGTTCTTCCTGTGGCGTCCTGGCTATGGATGATTTCGCCGAGGGGGAACATCGTTATGACGGTCACTGGGTGTGACCCAAAGTAATGGCGTAGCTTCCTCTTGGTGATGAGGACGGCGTATAGGAGTTTTTGGATCTGAGAGTAATGGGTCTTAGAGTCGGACAGTACCTCACTGACGAAGTATACTGGACGCTGGACCCTAAGGGAGTGTCCCTCTTCCTCCCGCTCTACTACCAGGGTGGCACTGACCACCTGAGTGGTGGCCGCTACGTATAGTAGGAGGGGTTCGTTGTTGCTCGGAGGAACCAGGATCGGGGGCTTCATCAGAAGCCGTTTGACCCCATCAAGGGCCTCCTAAGCCTCGGACGTGCATACAAAGTGGTCGGCTTTCTTCAGAAGCCGGTAAAGGGGGAGACCCCGTTCGCCGAGGCGTTAGATGAATCGACTGAGTGCGGTGAGGCACCCAGTAATTTGCTGAACCCCTTTTACATTCTGAATCGGGCCCATTCTCTGGGTTGGCCTCAATGCCACGCTCGAAGACGATGAAGCCAAGCAACATGCCCCTCGGGACCCCAAAAACACATTTTTCTGGATTGAGTTTGATGTTGTTCACCTGGAGTTTCGCAAAGATTTGCTCAAGATCGGCAACCAAGTGATCGGCCTATTTGGTCTTGACTACGATGTCATCAACGTAGGCCTCAACGGTTCGCCCGATGAGGTCTCCGAAACATTTGAGCATACATCGCTGGTACATAGCCCCAGTGTTTTTTAGACCGAACGATATTATGACGTAGCAGTACGATCCGAAGCGGGTGATGAAAGACGTCGTGAGCTGGTCGGATTCTTTCATCACGATTTGATGGTATCCAGAGTACGCATCAAGGAAGCAGAGGGTTTCGCACCCCGAGGTCGAATCGACTATTTGGTCTATATGTGGTAAAGGAAACGGATCCTTTGGGCACACTTTGTTGAGACCTGTGTAATCGACACACATCCTCCATTTCCCGCTCTTCTTCCGCACAAGGACGGGATTAGCTAACCACTCTGGGTGGTATACTTCCTTGATGAACCCAGCGGTTGATAGCTTTGCTATCTCTTCGTCGATGGTCCTGCGCTTCTTCTCATCGAAGCGGCGCAGGCTTTGCCTTACTGGCTTAGAGCCCAGGCGGATGTTCAAGGCGTGCTCGGCGACCTCCCTCGGGATGCCTGGCATATCCGAGGGTTTCCACGCAAAAATGTCTTTGTTGTCGCGGAGGAAGTCGACGAGCGTGCTTTCCTATTCGGAGGAGAGCGTGGTACCGATGCGTACCGTTTTACCCTCAGAGTTGCTGGGATCTATGAGGACCTCCTTAGAGCCCTCTGCCGATTCGAACGACCCAGCCAATTTCGGTCACCTCTTCCTGGAGGGCGATGAGCTCCTCGGAGGCAAGAGTTGCCGTGGCGTGGCCACAACATTCGACCTCACATTCATAGGCACGATGGAAGGAGGTGCCGACGGTGATGACCCCGTGGGGGCCCGACATTTTTAGCTTGAGATAGGTATAGTTCGGAATGGCCATGAGCTTCGTGTAACATGGTCGTCCTAGGATGGCGTGGAAGGTTCCAGGGAACCCTACCACGTCAAAGGTGAGGGTCTCAATCCTGTAGTTGGACCGATCCCCGAAGGTGACGGGCAGATCGATCTACCCTAGTGGTATGGCCTGTTTACTAGGTACGACGCCGTGAAAAGGCGCTCAGATTGGGTGGAGGTTCGACCGGTCGATGCCCATTACGTCGAGTGTCTTGACGTACATGATGTTGAGGCCGCTGCCTCCATCCATCAACACTTTTGTGAGTCGCTTTGGGCCGATGATTGGGTCGACTACCAGCGGATACCTTCCCGGGTGTGGGACGGCGTCCGGATGGTCGGCCCGGTCGAAGGTTATGGCGGACTCCGACCATCAGAGGAAGGCAGACGTGGCCGGCGCGGTCGTATAGACCTCACGGCGTGCGACCTTTTGGCAGCGCTTGGAGTCATAGGCCGTTGATCCCCCGAAGATCATAAGGGCATCGTTCGGCATCGGGAAGGCATTGTCCTTCTCCTCGGCGTCGTCTGTGGTGGGGACAGGTTCCTTCCCCTGCTCCCCCTTGTTGAGGCCTCCGGACAAGTATTTGCGCATGAGGCCACAATCCTTGTATAGATGTTTGGCCGGGAAGGCGTGGTTCGGGCATGGCCCCTCGAGCATTTTTTTGATGTGGTTCAGAGTGCCCTCTGTGGGCATCCGACCACCCTTATGGGCGGTAGCGGCCACGAGTGAGTCGTCGCGCCGTTGCTTCTTATTTTTTCTTTTGGTAGAACGGTTGGAGGCGCCTTCGCCGGCGCCCTCATCCCGCCTTGCCTTGCCATCGGAATGGTTGAAGATCGCCCCGACCACTTCCTCGCCTGAGGCATGACTAGTGGTGATGTCCAAGAGCTCCTTGGTGGTCCGTGGGCCTTTGCGTCCCAGCTTATGAACCAAAGACTCGCAGGTGGTCTCGGACAGGAAGGCTCCTATTACGTCAACGTCGGAGACGTTAGGGAGCTCGTTGCACTACCGGGAGAAGCGCTAGATGTACCCGTAGAGGGTTTCATTGGCCTTCTAGCGGTAGTTCTTGAGGCCCCATGGGTTCTCGGGGCGCTTGTACGTGCCCTGGAAATTTCCCACAAAGATTTCCCTCAAATCCGCCCAACTCTGGATGGCGTTGGACGGTAGATGCTCCAACCATGCTCGCGCCGAATCGGCCAAGAATAGTGGGAGATTGCGAATAATGAAATCGTCATCATTCGCGCCACCGGCTTGACAGGCAAGCCAGTAATCTTCGAGCCAAAGCCCGGGGTTTGTTTCTCCAGAATATTTAGGGATATTAGTAGGTGGTCGGTACCTTGGCGGGAAAGCAGCGTTGAGGATGTGCCGACCGAAGGCCTAGGGGCCTAGCAGGTCGGGGCTCGGGCTCCGGTCCTCGCCGCTGTCGTAGCGTCTGCCACGCCGAGGGTGGTAGCCATGTCTGGCTCCTTCTCCTAAATCGTTGTAGGCACGTCTGCGGGCGTCGATGGTGCTGCGTGCGTCGCGGTTGCGGCCGAGACGTTGGTTTACCGGAACAGGGGTACGCTGCCTGTCGCCTGGCGGTGTCTGGTGTATCGACGCGTCCTTGGCGGGACGCACCGAGGGCGTGCGCTGGCTAGCGTCGAGCTCGCGTCGCCGAGACAACGAGCTCTCCGCCTGTTGCGCCGCCGCACGTTCGAGCAACGTGCGGATTTCTTGGTGGGCCCGGCGATCTTCGAACGTCGCGGCCTCTAGAAGGCCGTGAAACAAGGCCGTTGCGGCGGCGATGTTCTGGCTTGCCCGGGCGAAGTGAGGGAGGGCTCCATCGTCGGTGAGGATCCTCTGGTACACATCACGGGCCATGGCGCGTGCGTGCCCACTGTCCCCGCGACGCTTGATCTCCTCATCGATTCTCTGGTATTCCCGGACGAGTTGTTGTCCGGCATCATTGATCTCTAGCTTTCGTGCTCTCAGCTGCTCCGTCCTTACGTGGGACGGGGCCGCCGCCTTCCCTTCGTTCCTCACGTCAGGGTTGGCCGTCGGGGTAGCGTCCCCCTTAGAGACGCTTTCGACGTGTCCCTCGGAGGTGTTCGCCATGAAGCATTCCCGGGAGGGGTGATGGCTCCCCATGCTGGAGCCAGAGCTGGAGGATGCTTCTGGCTCCTCGATGAGGAGTTTGTGGAGGGACTCCGCGTCGTGTTCAATTACCCCCACGAACTCGCTGTTTGTGGGAGTTTGGACCATGCGCAGTGCCATGAGGTGGCAAGCGGTCGCCGCGGCGTTGCGGAGACCGTACGAAAACACTGTTGGGGCGCTCCGCACATGGCGCTCCGGAGAGAGGTGGCTCTTTCCGGAAGGTCGTGCCACGTCGTTGTCGCTGGAAGGGGCGAGGCGACGCTGGTTCTTCCTGGACACACTAAAGGTCAGCAGATTCTTCGTCCAGCAAAAACTCGTTTTGCTACTAATTTTATTGCATTGCAAAGCATATACAAACATAAGGCTAATCTTCAAGCAATGGTTGTCTCTAATGATTGGATAACCTCTGCATATTATAAGGAAGCACAAGGGAAAATTTTTACCAGAGCTGTGCTAGATCAGAACTTTTGGAAAGATTGTGCTATTGTTTGTCAATTATCAGAACCAATAGTGCGAGTGTTGAGAATTGTGGACAGCCATGAGCGACCTGCCATGGGGTATCTATTTTCAGCCTTCCACGCTTCAAGAGATGAAATTGTGAAGAGGTTTCAGAGAAAGGAGTTAGTCAAGCCATTTTTGGACTATATAGATGCACGGTGGGGCTCTTGGTGGGTTTCAACTGTAGCGTACCCCAACTTGCTTGGGACTGAAAGGCTATGTTGTCGTTGTTGTTGTTGTTGTTGTTGAGATGCACGGTGGGACAGACACTTTGATAAAAATCTGCATGCTGCTGGATTTTGGTTTAATCCAAACAACCAATATAATGATGAGCTGCGAGAGATATAGTTTCACTACTTCTGGGGTTCTTGATGTCATTGAGAAATATGCCGGCAAAGATTTTGCTCTTTGGAGTTCTTTGACAAGAGAGTTGAGAATTTTTAGAAGGGGAGAAGGTGACTTTGGGCGTCCAACTGCTAAAAATGATCGACAACACATGCTTGCTGGTAAGTGGTAACTCTACTGTTAATTGTTGTATTCTATTTGTCCATTATATCACAGCAGCATTTAATTCCCTTTTTCATATAGATGAGTGGTGGGAAACTTATGACCGCAGTGCACCAAACTTACAGAAGCTAGCTTTGCGTGTATTGAGCCAAACTTGTAGTGCTTCTGGATGTGAGATAAGCTGGAGCATGTTTGAGCATGTGCACTCCAAAAAGAGGAACAGACTTGAGCATCAAAGGTTAAATGATATTGTGTTTGTTCATTGCAACTTGAGATTGCGTCAAAGGTACCCTTTTTGTGCTTGTTTACATTGATTGCCTTGCTGTTCAGTTTGTATCTAGAAAGAATACTTGACTAAATATATTTCAACATTAGGTCTATTGCCTTGCTGTTCAGTTTGTTTCTAGAAATAATACATGACTGTACTAAATATATTTCAACATTAGGTCCAAAACCTCTACTAGAAACTATGACCCAATCAGTTTGGATGAAATTCGGAAGGGAAATGAAGCATGGGTTGTTGAAGACAATCCACCTCGTCTTAATGCGGAGGAGTTGAATGAATTTCAAAATGAATTGTCTGCATTGAGTATAAAATGCAGTGATGGTAATGTCCTGCATTCTTGTGAAATTAATCAAGTTTGCCTTTGCTAGCAGCCAGCATCTAACATAATAATATACTGATATTTTTCAGATATGGTGCTGAATTTGGATGAGGTTGAGGCTGATGCCACGGATGAAAGTGAGAGACGTTGTCCAGCCAAGATAATGAACTTCATGATCTTGGTATGGCCGATGAACATTGTGAAGAGCCCAAAGATGAAGATTGGGATCCATTTTACCTATAGGCAGTCACCTCTATTTCGTTCGCAGGTAGCCTGTAGGCTATAGTTGTTTGGTGCTTTGGTTGTGCACTTGTGTTTGCGTATGTTCACTTGTTCAGTTCATCAGTTGTGCTGTTGTTGTGGCTGTCCTATTGCCAGTTTGGTTGCGAACTTGTTAAATTGTGAGCCTGTAGCTGTTGGGGCTGTCTACTTGTAATCCTTTTTAGTTGATACTTGGTAAGTTGTCTGTGACTGAGCTTGTTGAATGAATGAATTATGAAGTATGTGCTTGTTTTCTTCATAAATCAACTAGTATATATATTGCAACGGTTCAAAGTATCTGTGGCCGGTTCAATTCAAACGGTCCAAAGCTAACTTTGGTTGAACCAATGACCAATGATCTTACCGATTTGGTTATGGCCATTGCTGGTCCCTCTGCCTCGATTCACACTAGCTGGTGATGGGTAGGGTCGGCTGTCGGTGACACAGTTGCCGCGGACTCGTGGTTGCGCGACGGAGAGAGATGTCGAAAAAGAAATACGGGTTTTTTTAATCAAGTCAAAATCGTTAAGTCGGTTGGCGATGTTATGTTAAAACATATAGTCTGCATCATGTTACTTTTTTTTGAGAGGCTATATTAATTTGGAGAGCCACTATTTAAAGTTTTCTATTTCTTAGTCTCTTGAAGATACTGTGATGGAGTGTGGCAGTGGTCTCGGAGTCACGGTGTCCGTAAAAGTTTCTCGTTTGCCTGCACTGCCGGCACTCTTCCCTGGCGCGCGCGCCCCGTTAAGGATAGCAGCGCACACATGCCCATCCTACCCATGCTCTACCACTGTTCATCTTCCTTCGACGAGCGACTGCCCCGGCCGCCCACCTCGACCACCGCCCAGGCCACCGGCGACCTTGCTGGCGACCTACCCGTCCACCAACCACCCCCGCCAGCGAACCTGCCCTCCCCTAACTTCACCGCCGCTCGCCCTCGCCGCCTACCCCGCCCCACCGGATATCCTACCCCAGCCGCTCGATGGCGTCGCCGCCGCCTCACTCCCCGCCGACCAACCTGCCACCACCGTCGTGTCGTGGCCGCCGCATGGCCGGCCGGCCGAAATCTATAGCCAGGGAGGAGAGAGAGAGGGAGGGAGAGGGAGGACGTTGGCCTTACCCTAACCCTAACCGTCACTACCGCCTCATCCACCGCCTCGACCGGCAGGGACCTCACCGCCGGCCGCTCCGCCCACCACCCGCTAGCTGCCCCCACCCCTGCCCCCTTCTTCTTCTATTCCGGCACGCGGGGCGTCGTGTGCGCCGCTACGGTTAGCGGCGCACGCATGACGAATAGTGATTGTTGGGTTCATAAACCCGGGGTCCCTCATGAACCTGCTTCCCAGCAAAAGCTCGGCCCAGCAAACCGACATTGCGAACGACCCGTAACTCCTGGGCCGACCCAAAAACTAGAAGGCCTGGCCAAGGAAAGGACGACGCTCGCTTCTGACTCCGGCCCGCCTCTCTGACCAGAAGGCCTGGCTAAAGAGGGACGACGCTCGCTTCTGACTCTGACCCGCCTCTCCGACCGGAAAGCCTGGCCAAGGACGAATGGCGCTCGCCTCCAACTCCGGCTCGCCTCTCCGACCGGAAGGCCTAGCCAAGGAGGAACGACGCTCGCCTCCAACTCTGGCCCGCCTGTCCGATCGAATGGCCTGGACAAGGACAAACGACGCTCACCTCCGACTCCTGCCCGCCTCTCCGATTGGCACTCACTTCCGACTCCGGCCCGCCTCTCCGACCGGAAGGCCTGGCCAAGGAGGAACGGCGCTCGCTTCCGACTCCGACTCACGTCTCTGACTGGGGATCCACCGAACCACTGCTTATAGCTCTTCTCTGACTAGCGCAGTCAGAGCTGACTAGGACCAACCGACCAAGGACGCCCGCTCGGTGAGGACCCAGGAAATGGGCGAAGCAAGTAAGGCAGGGCGCTCAAGTCAACCGCAATATCAAGGACCGTACCCCGTGTACCTATAGGACGGTACCGACAGGGCATGTCAGAAGGGTGCACTGCAACCTTCCTGGCATGATAGAACCCAAGCAGTGTTGTGGGCGCCGATGTTTGCCCTACAGTGTTGTGGGCACCATCAATTCCCATACCAGGCGAACATGGTAAAACCCCCCACATGTCTCTGGGCATCAACAGTATGGTAGGCGTCGACATCTGCCATACCAGAAGAAGAAGAAGACAGAACCTCCCACATGCATCTGACATTAACAGTATTGTGGGCGCCTACAATTATCTTGTACCCGATGACATGGGCAACAAGACTTAGTAGCATACGTACACACTCTCTCTCTCTTGTAAGGTCGTCCCCTTCATCTATAAAAGGGGATGCGCTCTCTCCCAATGAAAAAGGGACTCGAACGATTCGAACAACCAACGATCGATTCACCCTCTGCTAGCTTTAGACACTCTAAAGCTACACAGAGCGCATGCTCGAATACTTAGCGCACGTAGGAGCTCCTGTCACTCTCGGCCCTTCAGTTTGGAGTTCGACCGGACCTCTTGCACCCCCATCTTTCTCCCTCTCATTTGTAACCCCACAGCAAACTTCGAGCACCTAGGCTCAGGAATAAAGTCACCGACTGACTCAAACTGGACGTACGGCATGTTGCCTGAACCAGTATAAATCCTGTGTCATTGAGTGCTAGGCCACATCCGATCACAACGTACGGCAAAACTACAAATATTTACGTGTTGGTCACTTTCTGCACCAACAGTTGGCGCCATCCGTGAGGAAGACGCCGTACATTCACGCTTTTTGGTCATCGGATGGCCCACTTTTCTGACACCTTTGCCATGGCGGGCTCAAGCGATACGACTCGCTTCAGCTCGCTGGAGTTTCCCACGCTCCCACCTGTTGGGATGTGGGTTCCTCCCATCTTCGAGCCATCCCAGGCCTTCCTCTTTAGAAGCCTGAACTTCGTCGCCGACCGGCTCAGCGTACTACACCTCCGCGAGGAGGCACTTGTTCTGGTGCCCGTCGGAGGGGCGCCCTCCGTCGACTTTGGGACGCCCGGTGACTTCAACGACGAGGCGCCTGCGCTTCGCTCCGAGCCTACGCAGGGCTCAAACCCAATTGTGAGTAACGTACGCTTTGTTATTTACTTGCTATTTACTATCTTTTGCAGATTCTCTGGAGGGACCCCGTTGTGCCTGCCGCGACCACCGTATGACTGGTTCCCCTATAGCCTCACATCCCCCGCAGACGCGGATGCCCGAGGGCTCCGAAGGATGCTAGCGCCGCCCCCTCTCACATCCGAATCCATGGCGATGGCGAGCTACGCTCCTGCCTCCTTTCATGACCTCATGGATGATGATGTTGAGAATGACGGCTCTAGCATCAGCGACGTCGTGGCACCTAGCCACCCTCTGTCCCACGAGTGCGCTATGGCGAACGCTCGCCCAGGGTCACGCTCGCCAGGTCCAACGCAACATCATAGACGGGGGGGGGGGACGACCCCCAAAATTCACTTGGGCCGGCCAGAACATCACCACGGCGGTGATGCTTCTATGCGGCCTTCCCGAGCCTGTCGACCCACAGGAGCAAGCGGTCCACTAGAACCTCCGGGCGCTGGTGGAGACCACCGCCGTTCAACAGGCAGAGAGCTCCGTGTCGCGACACCGACTCGTGGCCTCTCTCCCCTCTAGGGGGCAGGGACGCACCAGTCGCATTGCTCCATCCGCTCATCGCTACAACCGCTGGGCATGGAACAGGATGCCGCAGCTACACCACGACCTAACTCGGTGTCTGCCCCACATTGGCCGCCTATGCGCGAACGCCTTAGGCCAAACCAAGACGCTCATAGTGTCATCAACAACCAACGTTAGGCCTGGTACAATGATGACATTCACTGGGCGGCGGTGAGAGCAGGCAGTGCGGGCTCCGGCCGGACCATCGAGGGGACCGGTGAGACGCACCCTAGGCACGGTCATCGACCCAACGACTGGAGTCCCAGCCCGGATGGCCTAGGACCATGGGCCTTTGGCTGACGCATCTAGAGAGCGCCATTCCCACAGCGCTTCCGACCGCCGACCAACATCGCCAAATATACTAGGGAGACGAATCTCGGTATATGGCTCGAAGACTTCCAGCTCGCCTGCCAAGCCGGGGGAGTGGATGATGATCACTTCATCATTCAGTACCTCCCTATCTGCGTGGGGGAACATGTTTGAGCATGGCTCGAATTCCTCCCACACGGCAGCATCCGCGACTGGGCAGACCTCAAGAGGATCTTTGTCAGAAATTTCCAAGGGCATATGTCCTCCTTGGAAACTCCTAGGACCTCAAGAGCTACCAGTAGGAGCCCAGCGAGTCCCTATAGGATTACATCCATAGGTTCTCAAAGTGGTGCAACTCCCTAACTGATGTCGTCGATAAGGACGTCATCAACGCATTCCTCTCTGGGACAACCTACGAGTCCCTGATCCACAAGCTTGGCTTCCTGAAGCCCCATACCACCCTCGACCTGCTCGACGTCACCACAAACCATGCCTCTGGTGAGGAGGTAGTCGGAGTAGTATTCAACGGAGGCCGAGACAAGGGCAAGGCTAAGCGTGAGGAGCAAGACGAGGGCCCCTCCACACAGAGGGGCAAGAAGAACAAGAAGGATCGGCGCCGACCGGCCAACACCGCATTGGTCGACGTAGCTGATCGCACGGGCAAGCAGCCCCAGCAGGGCCTGCCTGACCACTTCAACAAGCTCATGGATAGCCCATGCACCGACCACGCCTACCCCGTCAAACACCTCTACAAGGACTGCGAGCTCCTCAAACATTTCCTACGATAGGCCGACGGGCCGAAAGAAGGAAAGGGCAAAGAGGCGGTAGCCAAGAAAGAAGGCGTGGTGGGCAAGGACAGGATAGCTTCCCCTACCCCGAGGAATACATCATGATCTTTGGGGGATCCGATGCCGTCTACTCAAAGCGCCAGCACAAGGTGCACTACAGAGAGGCGTGCATTGCTGAAACGGTCGTCCCCTCCTTCCTTTGTTGGTTGGAATCTTCGATCACCTTTGATCAGTGGGACCATCCCTCCCACATCGCCAGACCAGGTCACTACCCGCTCACCGTCGATCCCATCGTCCGCAAGAAGCGCCACACCAAGGTGCTGATGGATGGAGGCAGTGGCCTCAACATCCTCTATGAAAGCATCTAGGCCTCTAGTTGGGTTTCGGTGATTAATGACAATACGAGATTACTATGACTAACGTGTATTTT